AAAAAAAAAAAAAAATAGGAGTTGTGAGTAGACAACTTCGTGCTGCAGGGATAAAACAGCAAAGAAAAATAAACTGACGACAAGGTCCGCCATGTCTCCGGAGTCCCATTCTCAAGACTGGGCCTCAAAGGCTCCTGAAGCATGCAGTCGTCTGTCTCGAGACTGGGTCCTGTTCAAACAGCTGCATCCTTTTCCTTCAGCGGGACTCTGATAACATTTGGTTATTTATTGCTTTTAGGACCCTATCTCCCCTGCTTTTGACTTTGAAAGTAGCAGCACAGGGCATGTCTAAAGGTTTAAAAACAAACAAAAAAAACAAAATCAAGAAAGTATACCTAAAGCTAAAACAAGTGCGATGGAGGGTATATGGCGTTTGTCACCTTCTAGGCTTGGGTCATGTGTTAAAGTTTATCTCCCTGTACAGAAAAAAGAAGTCCCAATGTCCATGGAATGTGTTATGATTTTAAAAAGGTAAAAATGGTCAGATCACATAACAAGTAAAACAAGATTCAGAACTCACTGAGTTCATGACAGTGACAGACACGCAAACCTCAGATTAAATGACTAAGTGATAAGTCTAAGGTAAACATTGTAACATTTTTAACACAGCTCTTGTGTAGGTTAGTCATGTTGTAACCTGTATAAAGGGAAATTTGTGTAAAATAAATACTTTGTTGTAAGAAGGCTTCTTGGAAAGATTTCTTTGACCTTTGGAAAAGTCTGTTTATGCCGTCTAAACAATAAAAAAAAAAAAAAAAAAAAAAAAAAACACTTAACTTATGTGGGTGTGGCCCTTAAAAAACCGAAAATTCTGTCTGCCAACAGCATATTCAGAACCTGATTGTAATTTAATTGTGTTTATTTGTAGACAGCATGATTACAGTTTGAAGAAACACCACATACTGGTAATTTAACAACTTATTTAATTAACAGGGGTCTCAACAGCGCCTGGTCATCAACCTGATCAGACATTGATTTGAGATTGCATCATACTCTTGAGCCTTTGAAGAACCAACCAAATGCGCTTTCGCATGGCTGAGGTCAGAATAGTAGGTAGGCCACCTGGAAGCAGTTTCTAATAAACTACTAACAGTAGACAAGTATTCATATCTTAGTGGACAGATTTTAGTCCCTGGGAGTTGCTGTGTGGGATTGTCACCACCTGAAGAGTCCTGTTTTTTAAGTTTTCTTTTTTTTTTTTTTTTTTTATAAATAGTGCTGGACCACACCACTATACTGTCTTCAACAAAAGAACCTGGCAAGTTTGTCAAGGGTCTAACCTGCATACTCTTAATATGGTTATACCCACAAATTCATTTTCCTTACATTGTGGCAGCATTTATATGTATATAAATAGGCTTTTAAAGTGATGTTAGCAAGTAGAATTGTTAAGATTAAATCTATAAATCAAAAAGAAGAATTTCATTAGCTTTTGTGCATTTTCTGGCTGTTCAAGATCTATTAAAACCTGTTAGTGGCTGAATTGCCTATGAAGCCACCACACAGAGAGACGGGGTTGGAGAACTGTAGTTAAATTCTGCATCAACCACCCGGCTGTCCTGACAAGAGATAGATGGAGGCAACAATTAAAACTGGGTTACTGGTTTATGCTACAGGACCCAGCAGTGGAGATTTTGGTGCATTTCTCCTCAAACACAGCCCATCAATCCTCTGTGCTGGCAACAAGAGAACCAGCATAAACAGGATATCAATAGAAGAAAAAAAAAGCAGGACAGTAAACAGAAGGCCTCCACTGGGAGAGAGAGGTACATATCTTAAAGGCAAGAGCTACCTGCGCCACAATATTTTGACTAAAGTTAACAGTTGAAAGTTAGAAACTAATGCATAACATGATGCAACGTGAATTAAAAGAATCAGCGCCTGAACAGGTTGACCTTTCTTTCTCACATCCACTTTAGAACCCTCAGAGTATCACCTGACCTTTCCAGCCGCTCATATAACAAGCTTAACAACAGTAAATCTATTAGCAAGCCTTTTCTTGGCAACAACCTCACAGAAAGGGGAGTAGGCATTGGACAAGTCAGTGGAAGCATGCAAAGAGGCGCGGCGGATTACACATTGCATGTAGCTCTGATTTGGTGGTTAAGAATTTCTAATGGCATGATAAAGATTTATAATAACAAAAGCAGTACATCTCCTTTTAAAAAGAAAGTCACAGATTTATTCTTTTTACTGTGGCTCTGAGCTACTGCCTTAAGAGGAGAGTAGATGTGTGCTTTTAATTATATCAAAAACAAACACTGTTCTGTTGACGTGTGATAAAATGTAAAGTTTGCAATATGAAATACACTAAGTAAACGCAGAAATGTTCCATCTAAAGTGGGATTGTTTGTTGCTAGGCAACGATTGATGCTACTCTAACCAGAGACAGGATAAAAGAGTATAAGGTTGCAAATAAGGGTTGAATCATAGTAACGGCAGCAAAATAATTTAAATGGATAAATGACATTGTAAAAAAAATATGTCCCGCAATTTCTTTTTATCTGCTAAGTTTTATCACAAGAAAAATTAAAAGGCCAAAAATATTCTTCTAATACAAGATGTCAAGATATCATAAAAATAAATTAATAGCAATGTTCAGTCCAAGCAAAAATGGAAAAAGGACATCCATCCTGTAATTCAAACTTCCTTTATCACTAATACAGCTTCAGTCCTAGATGCATTGTACTTTTCAGACTACATAAAACTCGTCGAATACAAAACTCTGAAGCTGAGAGATAGAAAATGTTTCCTAAAATGTATATCTAATCTAAATGATACTGATTGACCTTCTATTAACAGCAACTAACCTTTCAAACATTTCCCTAATAGGCTAAATAACTGTTTATACTGAAAGAAAATTCTCGCTCATGTAAAGCACTGTGATTTTTCTGCCATCTTTAGCAAAGAGTTTTTAAGAATCACTAAAACTCCTGTTAAACCACATACTTTAAAAAAAACTACCTTTAATGAAATTACAGAGAAAGGTGGAGGTACTTCCATTGCAACACTTGTTGCTACACACTGCTAGCTGAATAAATGCAACTCTTTTTTTCTGAGAAAGCCAATCTTAGTTGTTAGGAAATGTTTCCAGTTACAAAAAAAAAAAAAAAAAAACCTGGCAGTGATGGTAATAAAACAAAAGGAGAGTCATCTGTCACACCTATTTAAACGTCCAGAGGGCTATGAGCGGTATGTCTGTAAAGCCGTCTAAAGCACGCTGCTGACCTGAGCGGATAGAAACACCAATTAACCAGCTAAGATAAGCGTGACTCTATAAAATTAACAGCTATTTTTAAATAAAATTTGAGTCTGTCTAAGATCTTAAAAAAAGGGAAGTTTTTTTTATAAAAAATTTATTTGGTTCTACATTATTCTTTTCTTTAAATATCCTAAAATAAATCAACTCAAGATCATCATAAGAATCTCACACCCCACAATCCCTGCTTTTCTACTGTACTACTGATTCTCAACAAGTGATTTTTATATCGATAAATGTGGATTTTGGACTATTTTACTGTAAAAGAAGGTGCAATAATGTAATGGATGACATAATTTGGCCTTCAATAAATTACATCCAATTAGAAAATCTGAAATAACATGATTTCAGTTTAATTTATAATATAGTCTTGGGTATATATGCATATGCAATATAATTAGTTAAACTAGAACGATAATTTTGATTAAAATAAACCCTCTCTCCTGCTTTCTTTCTCCATCACCACAATGCCCCCTCCATTCTCTGCAAGCTTGAGCATCCTTGCACTGACGTCTTTGTTTGGTTTAGCCTTTGATTCTTCTTCTAAAGCTTTCTGAACAAGTTAGGGATATATTAAAGAAAGCTTTGTACATTAAAAGGAGCTTAATAGCGCTGATAGAATTTTCTTCTTTTTTTTTTTTTTTTAACAGAATTTCAACAATGTGAAATTAAACTTTGGCACTACATGTGTTCTAAATAAGTGTGTTTACATTTTTCACCTCAAATGCAAAATGTTTATACTCATACAAACCACTCTGAGAAGCTTATCCTTTCAGCAACCGACATATGAGCAAGTAACCTCACTTAATTTGATAACCAAATTAGTTTTTTTAGGTTTGTTTGTTTTTTATTAAACACAATTAATTGTTTCAGCCCTAAAAGGTCTTATTTTAGTTTAGTATTGGGACTCTCCAAGCAGCATACGCTATCTCCACCTGGCCAACCGTTTTGTGGCCAAGTTGCTGACATTGCCATTTGCTTCCACTTTGTTACAACAGGACTAAAAGTGGATTGTGGAATATCAAGAAACTGCAGCTCAGGACTAAAGGCCAATTTATGCTTCTGAAGCATAGCCTCTGCAACAGTCAAATATGTCTCTGTGCATGACCACGCCCCCTGCATGATCTGCAACCGTCGTTGCGCACCCAAATCCTGACTACATGTAGGACGGTCGCAAATGCGCACAGACCTTAAGAGGAAGTACGCAGACAAAAAGCAGCTGTGATTGGTCCTTGTTATGCCTTTCCGACCATCTGTGTGGTCGTCCTTCTCGATTTGGTGCCGGGGCGTAGCATTTTCAAAAACCGAGGAACAACTACAATGGACAACTACGACAAAAGGTTAATCGGTCTTTTTGCCAACTCCATTAACAGAGCCTGTTCCTCTTTGATGTCTAGCAACTCTAGATCCATCTCTGTGACCATGATATCTTGATGATGCTGCATTGTTGTTCTCGAATGGGCTCCCCCTTAAGCGTTGGTGGGAAACTGCTGTGCGAGCCTAAAAAATTCCAGACCAACGGTGCAGAAGAATACCAGCAAAACTGGTTAGTGACCGGACCCAAGCAACATTTGATGTGTGCGGATAATTGCATAGGTGGCATCCTAGCACCACACTAGTTTTCACTGAAACCCATTTTTCACACGTATTTGTAAAAGTAGTCTTACTATTTAGGCAAGTTTATAATAGGCCATCAAGTGTTGCAGTGAGGCAATTTTCTGCAATTTTTAACTCTACACAGCAATACCGGTATTTGTAATTTGATATATTGCACAGTTCTGAATTACCTTCACTGAGCCTATTGATGCCTGTTTGGCCTAAAGTTACAATAAATGTCCTACAAAGTTTGTCTTTCCCTCTGTACTTGTCTAAAGACAATCATAAAAAAAGGACCATAAAGTTTATTTTAAATAATGAAAAATCTTAGAAGCTGTCCAATATGTAAAGCCTCAGTGCCCACTAAACTCGTCTTCTACACAATACAGTCAATAATTAAAATGTAAATATGTTTCAGTTCCCATAATTGAACTTTAATGTAGCTGAAGATAAACTATTGATGTATTTCAAGTAGTTTAAATAAAATGATTGAGATAATATATAATTTAATAAACTGGCAGGACAAACTTTTCAGGTAGTTGGAAAAACATATAGACACAAACATATGTACTGACCGAGTGTAATATTAGAAAATGATGCATTTCTAAATTGCTTACGTAACTAAAATTTGGTTCAGATTACAGAAAAAAGTAGTGGAATATAAATTTCAGAAATTGAAGCATATTAAGCAACCCACAAAGTCATAACTTGATACCTGAATGCTGCCCTGGAGTAGATCTTGTTTCCTGACTTGTTCCAAATTAGGAACATAAAAACAAGTTGATAGTTTGGACGAGAAACTGAAGCAAAGTGCTATCAGGCAGGCTCATCTAATGGGTCAAAGGTGGTGTTGTTTCTGCTGGGGGTGTTAATGCAGATACCAGATGCCCCAAACAGGAAACAGGAAGTTGCTTTTGAATGACGCAAAGTTTTAAAGGTTCTTCCAGGTGAAGAAAAAGAGGAGATATTTGTTTTGTCAAGTGTAATGAGCCAGATCTGAATCCAGATCTGAAATCAGTGTGATGAAAATCCAGTGCAAACTATATATTGGATACTATTTAATTGTTTACCAAGTAAATTCATCTAAAATCCTACTAACCAATCAGTAAACAGCTACTAAGCAGTAAAATGTGGTGAGTTTCGACATCAGCATCCAGTAGCCCAGAAAACGTAATGTTCTATGCGCCTATCAGTGTGCCGGCCTTGACCAGCAAATCTTAACTTCCTGACATGTAAAGGGTAATGAAAGGAGCTGGAAGCCTATAAATAACCTCCCAAAGCGCTCACTGGGTCAACTGACCCAGCAGATACTGACAGGACTCTGATCAGGGTCTGTGGTCTGAGACGACAGAAAAAGTCCTAATAAGAAGTCAAGTGTACAAACTAGGGAGAACTCTGGCAGAACACCATGAAAGCAGCAGTACCAGCTCAACCTCAATACGAAATCATCTACTAGTTATGAATATGAAACTCTCTGCAGTTTGCTGTACTGCACTTGCAGTGAGAAGTGTTTAAAGTTAGAAAACACTATACTCACCTTTAGTGAATTTCGTGTAATGAACCCTCTTTTTAGAAGTCTTTGATTTCTCTTCCAGGCTAAAACCTTTGATCTCTTCTGGAGGAACTTCTACAGATAAGATATCACAACACAAAATTATGGTCTGTTTACTCAATAATACATTTTACTTTAGTATGTTGCACACATCAAACTACTACAAAATGCATTAGAAACAATCTTGAGTTATTTCATATTTGAGTGATTTATTAAATAGTCGTAATGTCTGCATCATGCATGAAAAGTAATCATTTAAATGATGGTGCTTTACTAAATGTTGCACTGTAGCTCCCTCTGCTGTTTTAAAGGCAACAAAAATACAGCTGACACCAGATATTATGCACACTGTATAAACTAATCTAGTGTGTGACATTAAATAAGATCAAATAAGGTAAAAAGGGATTACTAAAAAAATTGCTAGATGCAAGAATATTGAGTCATTATGCTGGAAAAATGTGGATATGAAGTCCAGAACAAAAGAAGAGCTTGTGAGGGTGATGGCTGAAGCTGCAAGAGTTTCATCATCCACAGTGAAGTGTGGATGATTAAACTCTTGATAACTTCCATATTTAACAAATGAGTCATTTCTAACACAAAGATCTCTGTTTCGGTGCCTTGTTCTGTGATCTGATGAAACTGATGCATTTAGCATTGATGGCTGCCATTAGCCTATTTCTGAAGGAAACAAATGAGCAGCTATTAGCGTAGGAAGAATATCCCAACTTTGAGGGTTTCAGCAATAAATGATTGGCTAACCTTAAACATTTTATTCAAGACAGACTGTGAGAAATGTATAAAGACATTTAAAACATAGAATGTTAATACTTTAATATATCTACATCTTTATATAAGAGGCTAAACATAAGGCATACTCTGAATCAGTAGTATTGTATTTTCACATATGTAGCTGCAAAAGGCTAAAAAGTTTTACCTATGCTTCTTGTACCTACCATTACTGTTGTTTTGACCATGGTGGTCATTCAGGTTAGCTAGAAGTTCATTGAATTCATCCTGGTGGGCAATCCATTTGTCCTGCAAAAAGATAATAAATCAACTGATGCTATGCCTTTAATTAATTTCAAACAAAAACAGCATACTCTCATAAGAAAATTTGATCCCAAATTCAATTTTTTCAATCAAAAAACTGACCTCATGAGTTGCATTTGCTCCGAGCCCATAGTTATTATTTTTAACTTTTACTTTGATGTGGTCTGTGGATCCTTGCTCGCTCCTCCCCAGTCCCTGAAAATTACAACAAAAACAGAATACCTAAACGTGTTCCCTTTGAACAAAGTTGGGTCATTTCTTAATAGCTACACATTATTTATAATGCAAGCTTTGTAACAACAATTTAACTTCATTATGAAACTATAAGGTGAAAATTGTCAGGCTAAACAGACAAAACGGCAAAATCAATTGATTTATGTTAATACATAAGAATTTTTGTTGTATGACCACAAAACATACATGTTCTAATATGTAAGGTTTCAAAAGGTCTCTATGTATAAAAAAAAACATGAAATATGAGAAGCTGGGTTTCTGTTAAAAGACACAAAATGATTTTGAAGGGAATTCCAAAAATGAAAATTAAAAACAATTCACTGGACTTTGTTTCCAAGTTTGAAGACATTTTGCTTCCCACCCAGTAAGCTTTCTCAATTCAAAATGTCAGGAATAGCATTAAGTTCAAGGTTTTATACAGTAGCCCAGCATTTTGAAGGAAAGGTAACAAACAGAGGAGACTTTTTGAAGAGCGGAAATAAACTTTTTAACAGCAAGAGTGATCACCTCTATCAAAGTAGTAGTTATTGAGATTTGCTGGTACGGTGCAAAGTTATGAGTGATCAAAGGCTACCACGCTGCAGCCTGAAGTGACACAAATCCAATTTTTTTGCCCATATGCGACCTGGACCTGATCTTTTTATGGCAGTCTGAACAACACGGATACGATTTTTTCCAATGCAACCCAGACCAGTTGGCTATGTGGTCCTGAATCAGATACGAATCTGATCTGTTCAAATGAGACCTGTATCTTAACAGCAAGGTCGCATCCATCCGACCTGAACGTCATTAATACTCAACAAAGGTCACTATTCTGCATCGTGCTACACAGAAACAGGAAGAAAAACAACCACCATGGTGGACAATAATGTGGAAAGCAGTATTTATGTTTAACCATCTTGAAAAGATTAAGTTTTTAACGCTGAGAAAGATCGATAGATGCGCTCCAGCACTACCATCCATGTTTACTTCCGTAAACAAAGAGCACGCTAGCTTGTGACGTCATTGCATCCTCTACTATGCATGCCGAACACTTAAAACTATATGAATGCAGTTCAGACAGGAGGTCACATACAAGTTGCCTATACTTGGAAATCTGAAAGGCATCGTAAAAGAAATCAGATTTCACAAAAAACTGGAATTGAACACTAAGGCCTGCAGTGTGAACGTAGCCGTTGACAATATTAATGAACTAGCAATCCCTCAAACTATTGGAAGCTAATGACACAAACAGGTTGTTAAGCCAACAGTAACAGTTCCTTAATTATCTCTAAAGGGAAAAAATTGAATACTCATGAAGACCTCAGGGCAAGAAGATCCAAAGTGTCTTTCTTAAAGTAACATTCAGCCTGGTTGACATTTGCTGAAATCCACACGGAAATGTTTAAAAAGTTTTAAAACAACGTTTCACAGAGTGAAAGGCAATAGCTTGTCAAAGGTTTAAATAAAATGCGTCTATAAAGACAGAACGTGCTCATTGTCCAAATATCCAAACTCATCTGTACACTGCAAAAAAATTGAAATTTAAAAAAGCCATTTTTATTTTTCCTTAAAATAAATGCATTTGGTCTTGAATTGAAAAGGAAAGTGAGACAATTTGCCAATGGAACAAGACAATTTACATTTAAAATAAGAAAAAGCAACTGCCTTGTCTTATTAAAAGTGCATATTATCTAATTATCCTATTCTGAGAGTAAAAATACTCATTACATTGGCAAATCATCCCATTTACCTACTAAAATTAAGGGTAAATACAATTGATTTAGGAACTTTTTACTTATTTCTAGATCATTTTGTAGTGTAAAATATAGTGGAGGGTGTTGTATGGTTTGAGCTTGCATGGCTTGTTTTACAATCTCTTCTATTATCTATTAAGAGGAATACAAAATTGTGGTTTAAATGTGAAAATGGAATATTTTTCCTCCTACCGATCCAAAGAAGAAGCAAATTAATACATAAAACACAGAGTCAAACTTAATTTTGTCTGTGCAAACTGTACAGCCTCAAACTCCATCTGCTTTAGGCATCTTTTTTTACTTAATCTTTTCAAGATAATCCTGTTTCTAGTCTTCCTTTGAACTGGTGCTAGCCATGTTACGTAGCTGAGGTTTCCTGCTTTCTTCATGCAGATGATTATAGGTTTCCAAACCCTATTTATTTCTAATTCATTTCCTTAAATACGACTTGCAAATTTTTAATGGACATTTATGACCTTTAACATAAATTTTGGCAAAAAAAAAAGAGAAAGAAACCATGCTCACTTTGCCCTTTGACCAGCCCATTCGCTCCAGCATTTTCTGGCCAAATTTGTTGTCATCGTTGCTCCAGGTGCTGTTTCTTGGGTCCACAGACCACTTCTGTTTCCTGCGTGCTGAACAGGAAACAGCAGGAATTTGATTACATAACAGTCGGCTAACAAGAGCTCCCATGAAAGAGGAGAAAGAGCTGTTTCAGATAAGGCTAAAGTTTAATACTTAATACTGTTATGATGCATCACATGTCACAAGATCATAGCTGTACCGAATGAATGTCCTGTGACAATTGCAGAAATGTTTCCTAAAACATTACACTCAAAGAGTCCTTAATATTATTTATAGGGTTTCAGGTTTGCTGAAGGATGCCAGCTGGGTGTTTAGCGGTGACGAACTGTTTACTGAAACAGTTTGTGATCTTCAAACGGTCTGATTTTGTGTTATCTTTGTTTTTACGAGGGATTGGACTGATATATCTTTAATGGCTGCCTTAACTGTTACTAACAACATAAAATAGCAGTTGTGGTAAACTGGCCGAGAAATCTTAATGGAATATTTAAATCATGTTGATAATTTGACTTCCTTATTAACAAGAAAAAAGCTGGAGTTCAGTAAACTATTTGACAAAAGTTACCAAACTGCGAGTTGAGTACAGCAGCACGTGTTTAAATCAACGACTATAACATGCTAATGCTAACTGGGGTCCTACCAACAAAAAAAAGACATTAAGCAGTACATTTTTCTGCAATAATTTTAATAAAAGTAATTGGGCTTCTGGAAACAATATGTAGAGAGTTGGAGGGAATAAAAGAAAACATAAATAAGTAAAAGAAAATTGTAAACAAAATATACGCACGCTCTGCAAGCATTGACATCCTGGGTCCTTGAACAGATGACGCAAAGGAAGGGTTCCACAAAACGCCTGAACACAATGTAGTCATTTTTCGCTCCGTCTATATGTTTTCCCCCACTAATAATAATAACCATAATTATTATAATAATAGTAATGATAATAAAAATGCCTATTTTATTTGGAACAAATTGTCATCATTAGCATATAGGCACAAACATTATGCACCACCCTTTGTCAATAAGTACATTACTGATACTACGAGTAATTGTAAGAACTATGTTATGAGGCGTAATATTATAAAACCCCCCAAAACTTTTTTTTTTTTACCATTTTAAATGAATAAAATCAGATTCTTCTATAATTGT